CCCTCCTCCTCCTCCCCCCCTCCTCCTCCTCCTCTTCCTCCTCCTTTTTCTCTTTCCTCTGGTGCTTCCTCCCCAATCCGAGCTCAGGTCCACAGCTTCCTGTCCCCCTTGGAGGTCTCTCCACACTCACCCTCCAGTTGGTCCCTCTAGCTGATCTCTGCTTGAGGCCAGTGAGAGGGGGACATCAATGTCCCTCTCCACTGTGTGGCCCCAGAGCCAAAGGTCACAGGGTTACCAGGCACCTTCAGGCAGGACTGGTATAAACGACTAAGAGAACACATCTTAAATCTTAAGTTTAATTCACTGAATATAAATAACCACGTGAAGCCACTAGCCCCCATCGGTACAGTCCTTGGCCACCTGCTGGTACCAAGTACACCCTTGGAAGGATGGAGGGCCTGAGGGGTTAGGGTTAAGGTTATTCTTAGGGTTACCCGTCCGTTAGCAGGTTAGGCTTAAACTGGATTGCCACAAATTCAAGGCCAGCCTGGGCTGCATAGTGAGTCCAAGGACAGACTAAACCACACAGCGAGACCCTGTCTAAAAGAAGAAGGTTTAAGGAAAGAAAAGATTAGATTAGATGATCAGCATTAAGGGGCTCAGGTTGGGATTAAGGTGATTAGGATAGGGCTAGGACCAGGGTTGGGACAGGATTAGGGTTAGGTTAGGGAGGTTAGGCTAGGTCAGCGGGGTGAAAAGACCAACCAAGCCCCTGCCTTGGGGACGAGAGCGACGCACATGGGGGCCTGGCTCATCCCCCAGCCGGCTCACCAAGCTGCCCGGACCGTTTTCATATCCATAAGGTGGGGACATTCTGTGGCCACCGTGGTGCACACTGCCCTGGAGCTTCCACACTCGGGGAGGCTGCCGCAGACAGATTGCAAGCCTGAGGCCAGCCCGGCCGGCTTAGCGTCCTAGACAGACCCTGGGTGCTCCCAAGGGGAGGGCCTGGGTTTGATCCCCAGTACCATGAAGAGAAAAGAAAGGGGTGGTGTGGGGGGTATTTTAAATAATTCCTGAACTGGGAGGCTTTTGTGAGAATCTAACAAGAAATTATGAGGAAGAATAAGTGGGACAAGGTGTAGCCTCCTGACATCAGCACTCGGCAGACGGAGTTGCATATCCGCCGGCTTCGCTGCCCTTGGGGAAAGGCGGGGGGCACTTCCCCTGTGGTGCTTCGGGGGCCCCAGCCTGGCCTCAGGGTCTCCCTGCTCCCTTCACACAACAGAGCAGAGCAGAGGCTGGGCTGCCGTTAGCCACAGTGCTGGTGGCCTCCCTGGATCACAGGGCTGCAGGCCGTCCTAGAATCTCAGGCCCTGTCCGTCCAGACCTGGGAAGGAGGGTGGCCGGGTGGAGGGGAAGAGGCAGGAGACCCAGGGGACCGACCGTGGGCTTTTCTTTTCCAGCACAAACCAGAGGTGGCAAGGTTTGTTTTGCTCTCTTCTCCACATTCCTCCCGGCTGCTGTCAGACCTTGGCTGGGACAGTCAGGCTGGAGGAGGCCCAGTCTCTCTCGGCCTCCCGCCAGCTCCCAGCCACCCACGGGGCGCATTCCAGGCTGCTGTCTTCCCCTCCTCTGGTGTCCACACCTCCCACCCTGCTGCCCTGCCCCGGGGTCCAGCTCCCTGCCCAACCTGGCCCTAGGCTGCCACAGCCCCTCTTAGCCTGGCTCCCCCTTGTGCTGTTTCAGCTCCGTATAGTCCACTGAGGTCTGAAAAGAAATGGAAAATTCCCGCCACAAACTGCTCATACCTTTTAAATAACTTCTGTTCTAGCACATTGTTAAGGTGGCTCTATTCCATGTCTCACTGTGCCTAAGGTTTGTGTCAAGCTTCATCGTAGATACCCACGCGCGGGAAAAGTCACAGCAGGGCACACACAGCTCTGGCACCACGGGGCCCTGGGCTGCGTTCCCTGCAGGCACAGGGACAGTAGGTCCCTGCCCTCACGTCACCCTTCCTCTCTGCTCAGGGAACCAGAAGCCAACAAGAGAAGGGGGGGGGGGCGCCGGCTGAGTGTGCTCGTGGCCCCTTCTGGGACGCTGGTCACCCTGGCGGTGTCCGGTGTCCGCAGAAGCGCAGGCAGGTCTGCAGGGCTCTGCAGCCCGACTACCCCCGGCCCCAACAGGGAGCCCCGGGATGGCTGGGCGAGGAGGACGCGTTGGCGGCAGGGCGCATCTCCTGCGCCAAAGCGAAAGGCAAGGTGGGAGCAGAGCCTTCGTCCTGCTGCGTTTAGGGGGAAGGAGGTCGCCTGGCGCTGTCGCAGCTCTGGGCAGGCGCCTGCTCTGCAGGGAGCGCTGGCCCACGCTGCCCGCACGCGCGGTGTTCTAGAGTTGGAGGAGGGGCGTTCCTGCCCTGCCCCAAAGGAGCTGCAGTGCAGCTGGGGACCCCAGCACAGGCCGAGAAGGGAGCAGCGCGCCGTGCAGGGCTTTCCCTGGGTCCGGAGGATGAGAAGGACAGGGGCCTAGCTGAGCACCCCGCCTGGGGGTGCAGGGGAGGGCGAGGGTGGAGAGCGAATGGGCGGCTGGGCTGGCTGGCCCCGGGGGGGGGGGGGAGTAGATGGGACAGGTGCATGGACGGTCAGAGCGACGGAGAGACCGATGGGCTCCTGCACTGCAGGTGATTACAACACCAGGCTAAAGGAATTTGGGTTTTATAGGAGATGGAGTCGATTTAGAAAAGCAAGGGGAGCCCTAGGCCTCGAATGGGAGAACCCCACGCGAAGGAGGAAGCCAGACAACGGGCTGCACCTGCTGCCTGCCCACCTCGGCCCGGTCGCCCCCTAGGTCCTCAGCCTGCGTCACCTCCTTCCGCCCGCACAACAGCCGTGTGGGGCAGCTGCCTGCACTCCCGGTTTCACAGAGGAGGGAAGCCATCAGAGCCAGAACCTAGGGGAGGCCCCGCTGCTCTCAGAATCAGAGGCAGCCCGCCCCCGGGGCCACGCGGCCCCTGCCATCCCTCCTCTCCGCTGCTCACATCTCACCGCGGGCCTAACGCGGAAGGGGCATCCACCTTCACCCGGAAAAGGAGACGAAATGATGAAATCAGGAGAGAAAACGCCTGAGAGGAGAGGTGGACAGAGATCACCCAGAGCCACCGGGGCCTCTGGCGGGCCTCTCCTCTGCCTCCTGCTCTGCCTCGTCCCCTCTCCAGTCACAAGGCCCTCCACTCCCTCGTGGTAGGGGACTGGCCTGACCTGGCCCTCTGGGGTGGCCCTGGGACGCCGATACTTCACTGTGTACCCTCCTTAGCCCGGTGTCCCTGGGACACCACTGTCCTCATGGTCACCGCCCCGCCCCCTCCTGGGAGCACCGCCCCTGCTCTTGGGAAGCCATCTTCCTCCCCTTCAGATCCCGACCTCCTTCTCATCCACCACAGCCACGGAGGGCACAGCCCTGCAGACACCGGCTGGGCCCACGGCAAGGGCCAGGCTTCAGCTCAGGAGTGGCTGCTCCCTCGGTAGGGGCAGGCGGGTGACATGTGCGTGACACGTGTGCTGCGCCCCTGCCCCGCCCGCCCTCATTCCTCTGGGGTGACTGATTCCCTGCCACTCTTCTGTCTCCCCATAGTTTTTTCCAGGCAACACAATACACTGCCCTGAACACATAGAGCAGAACTCACAAGGTACCCGAGGAAGAAGTGTGGCCTCCCGGGCAGGCCCTAAGGTGCCGCTGGAGGTGGGGTGGGACAGGGCTGGGACCTAGGAGCTCTAGGGGCTCAGGCAGCCCCCACCTGGCAGAGTGCCCTGCCCAGTGGAGGGCCACGGCTGTGTG